CGGGGGGTTCGAAAGAACCGCCCCTTTTGCTGGGAAAAGGTCCACTCTGGGTAAAATTTGATCAAGGTACAAGAAGTTTTCATGGGAAAAGGTCCACTTTTTCAGAAAAAGAACCCCCCTTTTGATATTGCTGGCTACGGGCCTGTATTTAAAATCGTTAAAAAAATCTCATTAGTATTTAGAGGACCAATCGTCACCTCCATTTAGCCTTTGTCATGGTTCGTTTCCAAAGGAAATATCAGTAAGTAATTATTTCACATAATGTTTTTTATTCTTATGGACATTCACAGAAAGAAATTTGTGAAAAAAAATCCGTATAGTTTATACCTGAGAATTTTCTTCTCGGAGAGGACAGTGAGCCTGAATTATCTGTGTCTGTTACTATAATGCTACCAGTATCACTTCTTGTGCGACTAACAGACTTTGGACGACATCTGAAATAAATAAATAAACAAATAAAAACAAATAAATAATAATATAAATAAATAAGCAATGCTGATTTAAGCAAAATTATACTCGGACTTATGAAGGTTTTTATTACGTCACCAGTTGTCTAAACTAAACAGATCTTCCGGTGCACGTGATACAGATTGGAGTAACGAACTCAGCCGAGTTTTCCCGAATGGGGGCCTACCTATCTGTTGTGGTTGGGACAGGTCCTGATGGACTGGTGGCGAAAGGAAATGGGGAAGCTCCGTCCTGGGACTGCAATAGATAAGTACACAACGTATTAAAGAGTTTTTATGAACCATACAGATTGCTCTGTAGATAAAAAAGAAAAACTGGTGACGTAGGACGCATTCCCATAGATTTTAGATCGATCTATCCCCCTGGGGGGTCTCACTAGATTACTGTCAGATAACCCGGCTTAAATGCCCGTCCCGCCTACTACAAGCTGTAAGGGGGTAATTAACTTTCGTGCCCGCTCGGCTGACAGCTATTAAGCGTGAACCCCCAGGGAGTTAGGTCGATCTAGTTGTATCGATCTAATATCTGGGAATGGGGTAATAAAATAGACGATTTTGCTTCTGCGCGCTCTATATAGGCCTATACGCCACTTCATAATATCACTTCGCAAATATTGAGATTCGTGTAGAAATATAACTGCATATTCTAAATTTTCACCTTAATGATAAAAAAATCCCATTAGTAAAACGAAATAGGTGACACGGTAAAAAAAAAATCTCGTTTCCATCCCACACCGCAACCCCTCTGTTGACTTCAACAAGATCATCGTACATGTAGTTCTGCAGTCGTGCAACCATTATCCGCAAGATCAGGCCTACCCAACTACCAGACTCGGCACCTACGGATCCAGAATAAACCGGTATATCAGACCACACTACCCGTTCTCAAGGTGTGTGTCAGATCGCATTACAGAGTATCATACCCCATCACAAATTTTGTAAGCCTACCTGTCATCCGGGTATCGCGCCTCGTTTTCGTCAAGTAGGAGTCGTATGAATACAACAACATGGAAATCGGCAATCCTCGGCTCATTCCGCAAGCTCCATACTATTGTCGAATGCTGAGACATCGGAGTAGTTCCGAGTGACAACATGGCGACAGACGACTCACTGAATCTCGTCCAGAAAATATTTAACCCCCGACAGAATATGCTTTCGCTATCAAAATTAGGTCTACTTTTCTAAATGAATATATAAGTTTGCAAGTTCTTATTTTCAAAACATCATTGGCTATGTTCGAACCTAAATTTTATGTTAAAAATTGCGGTATTGTCAGATTTAAGCATAAACAGGGAAAATTGCAGCAGCGCATGAATCTAGATGAGATGCACTACTTTTCAACCCCGCTTTAGACCACGGTGGAAGTGACGAACAAAAGATTCAGACGTGGTATAACTCGCATAACCGCACGTCTCGCATGAATGCGTTATAACCCGCTAATGGACCCGTGGTCTAAATAAGATAGATCCCTCGTCAGCGAGGGTTATGTGACATCCACTCGTGCTTCGCACTCGTGTATGCCACATAACCCTCGCTGACTCGGGGTCTATCTATTACTACGATCATCGCTATCACATCGCGCACCCGGCAAAATCGGTGTGGTGGCTGATACTCTGTAATGCGATCTGACACACACCTTGAAAACGGGTAGTGTGGTCTGATATACCGGTTTATTCTGGATCCGTAGGTGCCGAGTCTGGTAGTTGGTTAGGCCTGAAGATGAAAACATCTAGATCACAACTATATTAAAAGTCCCTGTCTGTTGACGTCACCTTAACATTAACCAGTCAAGGTTTATATCTGTAGCTTAGCGCAAATTGAAAGGGTGTCCCCTTTTATATTCATTAAAAGAAAAATCGGGAGAAACTTACCTTTTTCAGGAGCAGCGACACGGATTTGGAATACCCTCTTGCTCGTGCTCCCATAGATGTCTCTATTAAAAAAAAAGAACCGAGGTGTCAGATAACGCCCATAGGGAACTGTTTTAAGGTAATGAAACTTTTTTTGTATTGACTTATGTTACTGATTACGCGAGGTAAAAACTAAATAACTTTTATTTTCTTCATATCCTTATTATCTCTTCCTATTACTAACATTACAGATATAGCTTCGATCCAGATAATATGAAAAAACAACAACACATTTTGGAATAGTTGTAGGGAGAAGTACAGAAAAAAGAAATGACAAATACCAAGAAATCAATCAATAAATAGCTTACTAAATTGACTAACAGATTTAAACTCGCCTCAAGCTGAAATGCTGGATCCACCATTATTATATCAATAAAACAGCATTTTTTGTTTTGTTGTCCACAAAGTATGATTTGCACGAATATAAATGTTTTTATTATCAAGATGTAGTGTGGTCTCTTCCACCTCCCTCTACCTGTACCTTTGTTTTAATGTTTTTAGCTGTGAGAATCGCTCTGCTTACTTTTCCGAAGGCAGCGCATTTGAATTCAGTCAAAAATTGCTTTTCTCATACAATTTTATGTAGTACCCATGAGCGTGATACATTATCCCATGTAATTTTTACCTATCTGAACAAACTACTGCTGAATCTACCATTCAGCACTATTAAAAAGAAAAAAAATCAAAAAGAAATGCCAAGGGCTTTGAATAGCCACTTACGATGTAATACGAACTACTCTAAATAAACCACTCTAGCTTAACAGCCCAGTTCCTTTGACAAGTCATTGTTAAATAAACAAGCACTATTAGCCTCTCTCTCAATACAACTGCTCAGGTAAATACCAAGATGTTTCCCTAGCGCTGAATAAATATGGCGTTTAACCAGAAATTATAAAGGAGGGAGACAAAGCTACACAACCTCACATAGCCTGTGTTAACTCCGAGGTTTCATTTAAATAAAGTTGTTATCGGTCCAGTGCATTGTATATTAATAATATTTTGTAAATAAAGCGCAACATCTGAATGAAATTGAGAAAGACATTGGGCGTACGGAAGACGGGGCAAACTTTTGGCCCAATGCTCTTTTGTAAAACAGGGATCTGCATCGTTTTAAATAAAACTGACGCTTGGCGTTCTCAAACACCATGTGAGGCTTCCCGAGATCGGTTAGTTGAACCAGGGAATTATATCCGATATAATTCCCTGGTTGAACTCGGGCTTTTTCACAACCAAGTTGATTAAATATGTCTCGCAATTGTCTAATGGATTCCTAACTCCCGCGTGCGTCTTCCCCACAGGAGCAGAGCAATGAAATCTTTAAATGATCAGAAAATTACGTGGCATGCTTTCACGTGGGTCGCACCATACTTGATCCGTGGCTCAGTTAGTGTGCGGATCAACGTGGTCGTGAACAGAGCCCCATAAGTCTCTTATACTATAAATGCAGGAGGGGGGTTAGTGCCAGAAAAAAATTAAGGGGAGGGTACGTGCGTGTTGGAGGCTGATGAAGGTTTACAACTTACGCAAGTATGTTATTTATACTACCTGTGGTCCTCAGCTCGACGCTGGCTGAAGGTAACGTAAGAGAACTGGTTTATTGAAGACATTATCGTAACATACACCTCAGCCTTTATAACATTTTGTCTTTAGTAAAATTACTGGCGTACGTTTCATCAAGACATGGATACTCACTCACCTTTACCTGACACTTTCCTGCCCGGGTAAGCCATCCCCTTTTTTCACCTCAGTGTGTCCTAAGTCAACATTTTCTCAAACAATTCGTTAACATTTATCACAGGTAAAATACCCTCACACATGAGATCAACGTGTCTATCATAAGATTGATTGAGACTCTACATGTACATCCATTGAGGTAACGACAGGGAAAACCTGTGTGCTCTCGGATCACTGAGGAAAACTCAAGGTACCCGAGTACATGTTCTTGATATTAATACCTGGGGTAATGGTTGTTGTTGCAGTAGTGCGGGTCTTCGCTGACTCATGTCAATAGTTACGCTATTGTCATAAAAATGTCGGTCTCCTTCCCTTTTTGTTGGGTTTCTATTTGTAAGTCGAGATTCAGTTACGCAGTAAGTGCACGGTGTTTAAGTAAGTGACGTCACACCTGAGCTAGACCGGGAAATGAAGATGTACCCCTTTTGCATTTTTTTTATTAGGTTAATTGATGTACGATAACAAAATCAACTATGTTAGTAATCAAATAAAATATTATAAAATTGGTGCTCAGAGAGTTATAGGTTTCTTTGTTGTTATATTATATAAATGCTTATCTTGATTATTTTACCGCGTGTTTTTGGTTCATTTACATTTTCTTCACCGAATTTTTGCAAACGTCAAAGGTGCCCTCTCTATTTATGTGTGTGTGTGTGTGTGTGTGTGTGTGTGTACTCACTCCCTCAGTCTGTATCACCCTCTCAGTGTGTGTGTGTGTGTGTGTGTGTGTGTGTGTATGTGTTGGGGTGTGGGGGTTTATTTTATCAGTATACCTACTTTATACTCTTTAATGTACGTTATATACCGCATATTATACCGGTATTGATGGCAAAATGAGTGAATAATTTATTGCCAATATACCAGATTCTAAGAAAAATGTGCTACAACAATGCTGAATAATTTAAAATGACTTATAAGGGATCCTTGATTTTTCAAACCGAGAGAATTTTAAGTAAGACGGCCATCTATGAAAATGAGAATTTGCATAATAATAATAATAATGGCAATAATATTGACAATATAATGGCTAAAAACTTAAAGAAGGATAAAAACAAACAATTTCAAACATTTTGAATATCTTTTTATATTTTTTAAATATTTTGATCATGTTTGAATATATATCTATATTAATGGGAAGGAGAACAGCTTGGCCTTTGTGGATTCGACATGTTCAGAAAAAAGTACAATTTACACCCTTAACAAGCCTAGAATGATGTTCCAGTTTGAAAAATGAAAAAAAACAACATAAAACGAGATGTTGTGAGAAATGTGATCATAAAACCATCAATCCATTTTTGTCAGATCGTATCCGAACAGCTGTGCATCCGTTCTGAAAACCTCCAGCAACCTGCGTAGATCTGCTTCCTCCACCTCAGCGTAGCTCTCTTTCATTTTTTGTGCCGTGTCACCGTGAACACTGTGACGAAAAGCAGTATCGTTCACGGATTCCAGAGATGGAAATGTGAAATTTGCACCGATTAATTTCAAGAAGTTTGAGGCGTCTTCTTGTTCTTCTAAATGGCCAATGATATCATATTGAACAGAACAAGGGTCGCAAAGCTGGAAATATTCAGCCCAGTGGTTGTCTCCCAATCTTTTCTCTCGAATAAGGACCCCTTTATATGGGTCATAGCTCTTTATGATAAACCCAACAAAACTCTTTAATGAGACGGTACCACCATTTTGTGTTTTAAGCATTTTGAAAAGATTGGCCAAAACTGTATTTCCATCTGCCAACATTCTGTACGCTGATAATAGTCGAACTAACGGATGTCGCACAAATACTACTTTGAGATAGTCCCTAAGTATTACTTCTCTTTTCCTACGATTGAGGTCTTCAAAATGAGTAATAGCGCGGTAGAATCTTCTTGACTCCTCTTGTACTTCAAACAAAGTTGTTGATGGTGCAAGTTTTCCAGCCAGACGAAGAAATACAAAGCGCCAATTCATTATTGCAACTTTCGGAATACCACAGAATAGTATCTTCTTTTCGTCATCCACATATCCAAATGTTAAATTGCATACTCCAGTAGCAAATGGAGGCGTTGGTCTTGATTTTGAACCAGACTGATTTATTAGTCTTTGACATTGTGCCATTACGTCGTATTTTCTGCGGCTCATTTTTTCTAACCATGTTTTAGGTACATCGTTCCATTTAAGTTGATTGAAACGGTATGCAAGTTCTTGTGTTGAATCAGGAACGTTACTGGTATGCTTATGAACTCCAGGCTCCCATTTATCGTGCACCCTAAAAAGACAAGTGCTATTAATAATATTAGAAGCGCATGTGTGAGTGTGTGTGTGTGTGTGTGTGTGTGTGTGTGTGTGAGAGAGAGAGAAAGAGAGAAAGAGAGAGAGAGAGAGACTAGAGTTTGTGCTAATAAAAATAAAATATATGCATTCGCCTATTTATATTTATATATGAAGTCATCATGGTATCTACCAGTACACCCTTACCTTTAAAACCGTGTTTCCATTTTTTCAATTTTTTGAGGTTTCAGTGTTTTTATATAGATTTTCATTACACCGAAATGGTTGAAGTCAGCTGAACCAAACCTTGCCACATTTTGATAGGTTTGTCTAGTTCTTTCTTGTACACCCACAAAGGAAGAACAGTACTTCCATAACAAGAAGATCTACTTGATGCAGGTTATTAATTTTGGTTTATTATCAAAAGTATATGTTAGCAAACGTTACCACTGCCCTGCTTGTATAAAAAGTTTAACAACGATGAAAAATCATTTTGGCTACACTCCACTTACCATGACCGAAATCCGTGGGTAAACAGGACATAAACAACTAATACGCAAACCATCAATACGCTCAGCCGCTGTAGTCTCATCTCGACTCCGTTTTCTCTTTTCCATTAATGCTTAGGCATATAATATAATATTTGATATGTATTTTACAGAAGTTGCTACAGACAAAACCGCAGTGATTGGCGGTAATCGAATATTTATGATGTCATACGTTGCGTAATTTGTCTCAAACAATATCTAATAATGCAAGCTACCTGTACATGAGAGATAAGAGATCCACAGGTTGGGGGTTCGGTTAATAATAATAATAATAATAATAATAATAATAATAATATTTATTTCTTAAAACCGCACTACACTACCGTCTCAGTGCTGTTTACAGGTAAAATTATCAGGATTACAACTAAATATATAGATAATAATAGCTAAGGTAAAAAACAATTAAAATAATTAATGCTGGTTAAAATAGTAATGGTCTGAACAATAAAACTTTTTTCTGATAAAATGAGAAAATATTAATTAAAATACTGTGCAAATAAGAATGTTTTTCTTTTAAGTCTTTTTATGTACAGACACAGATGTGTCTGTACANGTGTGTGTGTGTGTGTGTGTGTGTGTGTGTGAATGAGAGAGAGAGAAAGAGAGAAAGAGAGAGAGAGAGAGACTAGAGTTTGTGCTAATAAAAATAAAATATATGCATTCGCCTATTTATATTTATATATGAAGTCATCATTGTATCTACCAGTACACCCTTACCTTTAAAACCGTGTTTCCATTTTTTCAATTTTTTGAGGTTTCAGTGTTTTTATATAGATTTTCATTACACCGAAATGGTTGAAGTCAGCTGAACCAAACCTTGCCACATTTTGATAGGTTTGTCTAGTTCTTTCTTGTACACCCACAAAGGAGGAATAGTACTTCCATAACAAGAAGATCTAATTGATGCAGGTTATTAATTTTGGTTTATTATCAAAAGTATATGTTAGCAAACGTTGCCACTGCCCTGCTTGTATAAAAAGTTTAACAACGATGAAAAATCATTTTGGCTACACTCCACTTACCATGACCGAAATCCGTGGGTAAACAGGACATAAACAACTAATACGCAAACCATCAATACGCTCAGCCGCTGTAGTCTCATCTCGACTCCGTTTTCTCTTTTCCATTAATGCTTAGGCATATAATATAATATTTGATATGTATTTTACAGAAGTTGCTACAGACAAAACCGCAGTGATTGGCGGTAATCGAATATTTATGATTTCATACGTTGCGTTATTTGTCTCAAACAATATCTAATATTAGTAATAATGCAAGCTACCTGTACATGAGAGGTAAGAGATCCACAGGTTGGGGGTTCGGTTAATGTCAATAATAATAATAATAATAATAATAATAATAATATTTATTTCTTAAAACCGCACTACACTACCGTCTCAGTGCTGTTTACAGGTAAAATTATCAGGATTACAACTAAATATATAGATAATAAAAGCTAAGGTAAAAAACAATTAAAATAATTAATGCTGGTTAAAATAGTAATGGTCTGAACAATAAAACTTTTTTCTGATGAAATGAGAAAATATTAATTAAAATACTGTGCAAATAAGAATGTTTTTCTTTTAAGTCTTTTTTAAAAACCTCAACACTATCAATAGTCCGAATGTGTGAGGGTAGTTGATTCCATAAAATGGGTGCTGAAGTTGAAAATGCCCTGTGGCCATAGGTTTTGGTTGTTTTTTTATTATCATTTCTGATAAAACAAAGAGTAGAGGTGGATCTGGTAGACCTGGTGAGACTGGGTGTACTTGGATGTAGCATCGAGTTAAAATATGAGGGGCATTCACCTCTGGTGAATTTAAAAACAAACAACAGTAATTTAAAAACAATTCTCTGTCGTACAGGAAGCCAATGTAGTTCGAATAAAATGGGTGAAATGTTTGGTCTGAGAGGGGTTTTGTTCAGTAGTCGTGCTGCAGCATTTTGGGTAGATTGCAATTTTTCAATTTGGTAGGTAGGAAGACCATACAGTAGACTGTTTCCGTAGTCAAGATGTGAAGTTATAAAGGCATGAACAAGCCTCTCCATTTGACTTTTATCAAGGATATGGGATAGTTTGGAATTTTTTTAAGACCATAGAAAGCGGCTTTGCATTTTTTTACTGATGTCGGCAGCCATATCGCAACTATTATCAAAAATGTATGTTATGTTATGTTGCAATCTGGTTGTCTAAGGGACCATTCCCACAGATATTTGGAGGGATCTATCTCCCTGGGGAGTCTCACTAAATTGCTATCAAATTAACCGGTTTAAATGTCGTCATGCCTAGTAAANCTGTTTTTTGTCTGTACATTTGACAGCTTTGCTGCCTTGTTTAAAAACCTCAACACTATCAATAGTCCGAATGTGTGAGGGTAGTTGATTCCATAAAATGGGTGCTGAAGTTGAAAATGCCCTGTGGCTGTAGGTTTTGGTTGTTTTTTTATTATCATTTCTGATAAAACAAAGAGTAGAGGTGGATCTGGTAGACCTGGTGAGACTGGGTGTACTTGGATGTAGCATCGAGTTAAAATATGAGGAGCATTCACCTCTGGTGAATTTAAAAACAAACAACAGTAATTTAAAAACAATTCTCTGTCGTACAGGAAGCCAATGTAGTTCGAATAAAATGGGTGAAATGTTTGGTCTGAGAGGGGTTTTGTTCAGTAGTCGTGCTGCAGCATTTTGGATAGATTGCAATTTTTCAATTTGGTAGGTAGGAAGACCATACAGTAGACTGTTTCCGTAGTCAAGATGTGAAGTTATAAAGGCATGAACAAGCCTCTCCATTTGACTTTTATCAAGGATATGGGATAGTTTGGAATTTTTTTAAAGACCATACAAAGCGGCTTTGCATTTTTTACTGATGTCGGCAGCCATATCGCACCTATTATCAAAAATTTATGTTATGTTGCAATCTGGTTGTCTAAGGGACCATTCCCACAGATATTTGGAGGGATCTATCTCCCTGGGGAGTCTCACTAAATTGCTATCAAATTAACCGGTTTAAATGTCCGTCATGCCTAGTAAAGCTGTTAGGGGGTAATGCATTATCTTTACCCCCTAGCTGATTTGGTAGGCATGACATATCCGCAACTAGAAGAATTGATTTGTATGGCAAAAAAAAAAAAAGCCTTTAATGTAAAGCCTTTATATTAAGCAAATTTCAAGATTATGAATTAGAGAATTTATCTTGTTTTTTTCCTAGGGATTCATTTCTCGATAAAAGGGCTATGCAATGACCGCGTCCAAGTAAAACACGAGGAACTTAAACTTTTGTGAAGCAGAATTTTTATTAACCTCAAAACTTCCTCATTTTTTCACTTTATTACCAAGATATACCATTTCGTAAACTGTTGTTAAAATTACAACCAATAGTTCCCTATTTGAATTCTCAGTATCTCGTTTTAAGTCATTTGAGACACGTACAAAATTCGAATTTAAAAATATTGGGTGGTAAAGTTTCTGTTTATTCAAAAGATGTTGACAGAAGAATTACTTCCCTCAAATTTGAAAGAGTTCATTTTAGAGCTATTTTCAAACATAATTAATCCGTTTTTGTCAGATCGTATCCGAACAGCTGTGCATCCGTTCTGAAAACCTCCAGCAACCTGCGTAGATCTGCTTCCTCCACCTCAGCGTAGCTCTCTTTCATTTTTTGTGCGGTGTCACCGTGAACACTGTGACGAAAAGCAGTATCGTTCACGGATTCCAGAGGTGGAAATGTGAAATTTGCACCTATTAATTTCAAGAAATTTGAGGCGTCTTCTTCTTCTTCTAAATGGCCAATGATATCATATTGAACAGAACAAGGGTCACAAAGCTGGAAATATTCAGCCCAATGGTCGTCTCCCAAGCTTTTCTCTCGAGTAATGATCCCTTTATATGGGTCATAGCTCTTTATGATAAACCCAACAAAACTCTTTAAGGAAACGGTACCACCATTTCGGGTTTTTAGCATTTTGAAAAGTTTGGCCAAAACTGTATTTCCCTCTGCCAGCATTCTGTACGCTGATAATAGTCGAACTAACGGATGTCGTACAAATACCACTTTGAGATACTCCCTAACAATTACTTCTCTTTTCCTGCGACCAAGATCTTCAAAGTGAGTAATAGCGCGGTAGAATCTTCTTGACTCCTCTTGTACTTCAAACAAAGTTGTTGATGGTGCAAGTTTTCCAGCCAGACGGAGAAATACAAAGCGCCAATTCATTATTGCAACTTTCGGAATACCACAGAATAGTATCTGTTTTTCGTCATCGACATATCCATACCTTAACTTGCAAATGCCAGTGGCGAAAGGAGGCGTTGGTCTTGATTTCGAACCAGACTGATGTATAAATCTTTGACACTGTCTCATTATGTCGTGTTTTCTGCGGCTCATTTTTTCTAACCATGTTTTAGGCACAGCGTTCCATTTAAGATGATTGAAACGGTATGCAAGTTCGTGTAGTGAATCGGGAACGTTACCGTTTTGTTTAGAAGGTCCTGGCTCCCATATATTGTACACCCTAAAAGACAAGTGCTATTAATAATATTAGAATATAGCGTGTGTGTGTGTGTGTGTGTGTGTGTGTGTGTGAGAGAGAGAGAGAGAGAGAGAGAGAGAGAGAGAGTAGAGTTTGTACTAATAAATATAAAATATATGCATTCGCTTATTTATATTTATATATGAAGTCATCGTGGTAACTACCAGTACATCCATACCTTTGAAACCATGCTTCCCTTTTTTCAGTTTTTTGAGGTTTCAGTGATTTTATATAGAATTTCATCAGACCGAAATTAATCAGCTGAACCACACCTTGCTATATTTTGATAGGTTAGTCTAGTTCTTTCTTTTACACCCACAAAGGAAGAAAAGTACTTCCATAACTAGAAGATCTATTTGATGCAGGTTATCAATTTCGGTTAATTAGCAAAATTATATGTTAGCAAACGTTGGCACTGCCCTGCTTGTACAAAAAGTTGAATAACGATTAAGAATAATTTTGGCTGTTGTCTACTTACCATGACCGAATCATTTGGGTAATCAAAACACAAACAACTAATATGCAAGCTATTAATACGATCAGACGCTGTAGTCTCATCTCGACTCCGTTTCTTCTTTTCCTTTTATGTTTTAACTTATTTATCCACTCCGTTTATAATATTTTATGTGTATTTTATAGCTATAGCATATAGACCCGGCTGCAATATGTGGCGGTACTCCAATATTTATGACGGAATGCGTTCACGGTATGAGTGTACAAGCAACATATGATAATGTAAGGTACGTGAATGATAAGATTCTCACATGATGGGGGGGGGGGGGGTATCCTTGCGTCTAATCTTCTTATTTTGCAAATTGCTTGTCCAACAGTACTCTTATTTAGGAAGGGAGCAAATTAAAATCTACTGTTCAAGTTTACTCCGTTTAGTAATAATACTTAAAAGTATTTAAAGGAACACAAAGGACTAAGCTCCAAAATTCGAAATTAACGAATTATTTTGTACCAAGACCAGAATTTTGGGGTTCTCAGAACCCAGACGACGGCCATGCAAGCAAGTATCGTTACCACGAACAGTACATCAATCGCCACAATCCAATTTTTCTTTCTTTTTTATTCACTGCTTATTAAGCTACACGCCCTTCCGTTTAACCGCAAAATATAAGAGTGCTCAATTTATGCAGGTGCTCTAAAATCCTTAGCAATATAAAACGGTTGCACTTAAGTGATTTAGATGAATCGATACGTTAACATGATCTAAATTGACAAAAATATTTTTATGTACAGATGCATTGCGGCTGTATATGTTCCCATTACCTCTGTCTTCGCCCGTGCCACCGTCGCTGTCGTGCACTGTCGATAAGTGGAAAACTATTTTCATTTTTGTCTTCAAACTTAAAAAAACTGTTGAATGTTAGTAAAAGGACAGGTCCAGTTAGAAAATCAGCTTGACTGGACCGTTTTTCCGAAAAAAAATGCAGTTTTTGTTTCTCTTTTTTCAACATAAATACAATACATATAACACATTTTTTAGCGGAAAAGCCATTGATCTGTCGTCTTCAAACTTTCAGGAATGATCATTATTACTAAAACACAGGTGGAGGTCTAACACCAATGCAGCCCCTGATCGGATTATATTGTTGAGAAGTTCTGCATTTTTTTTTTTTTTTTTTTTGTTAAATGCAGCTTGAGTCGGAAAGCCGGTCTGATTTGAATCTTTTTCTGAAAATTATGCAGTGTTTTTGTAAAATATTCTCTTTTCACATCATTACATTTTTTAATGTAGGACTAAGAACCCCCACTGGCATGTTGCCGTTTGGTAGTTTTATTTTTTGAATGTCCATGAAAAATTCATAGAATAAATTCTTAGTAAATTAAAAGAGGTGTTTTGAGAGCTATTGCCAAATATAATCAATCCATTTTTGTCAGATCGTATCCGAACAGCTGTGCATCCGTTCTGAAAACCTCCAGCAACCTGCGTAGATCTGCTTCCTTCACCTCAGCGTAGCTCTCTTTCATTTTTTGTGCGGTGTCGCCGTGAACCCTGTGACGTTCAGCAGTATCGTTCACGGATTCCAGAGATGGAAATGTGAAGTTTCCACCGATTAATTTCAAGAAATTTGAGGCGTCTTCTTCGTCTTCTATATGGCCAATGATATCATATTGAACAGAACAAGGGTCGCAAAGCTGGAAATATTCAGCCCAGTGGTCGTCTCCCAATCTTTTCTCTCTAGTAATGACCCCTTTATTTGGGTCATAGCTCTTTATGATAAACCCAACAAAACTCTGTAAGGAAACGGTACCACCATTTTGTGTTTTAAGCATTTTGAAAAGATTGGCCAAAACTGTATTTCCCTCTGCCAGCATTCTGTACGCTGATAAAAGTCGAACTAACGGATGTCGTACAAATACCACCTTTAGATACTCCCTAACAATTACTTCTCTTTTCCTACGACCGAGATCTTCAAAGTGAGTTATAGCGCGGTAGAATCTTCTTGACTCCTCTTGTACTTCAAACAAAGTTGTTGATGGTGCAAGTTTTCCAGCCAGACGGAGAAATACAAAGCGCCAATTCATTATTGCAACTTTCGGAATACCACAGAATAGTATCTTCTTTTCGTCATCGACATATCCATACCTTAACTTGCAAATGCCAGTGGCAAAAGGAGGCGTTGGCGTTGGTTTCGAACCAGACTGATTTATAAGTCTTTGACATTGTGCCATTACGTCGTATTTTCTTCGGCTCATTTTTTGTAACCATGTTTTAGGCACAGCGTTCCATTTAAGTTGATTGAAACGGTATGCAAGCTCGTGTGTTGAATTGGTAACGTTACTGTTATGTTTATAAACTCCAGGTTCCCATTTACCGTACATCCTAAAAAAAGCCGAGAACTATTAATAATATTAGAATATAGCACGTGTGTGTGAGAGAGAGAGAGACTAGAGTTTGTGCTAATAGAGATAAAATATATACATTCGCCTATCCTATTTATATTATATGTGAAGTCATCGTGGTAACTACCAGTACACCCATGCCTTTGAAACCATGCTTCCCTTTTTTCAGTTTTTTGAGGTTTCAGTGATTTTATATAGAATTTCATCACATCGAAATGTATTAGCTGAACCACACCTTGCTATATTTAGATAGGTTTGTCAAGTTCTTTCTTGTACACCCACAAAGGAAGAACAGTACTTCCATAACAAGAAGATCTACTTGATGCAGGTTATTAATTTTGGTTTATTATCAAAATTATTTGTTCGCAAACGTTGCCACTGTTCTGCTTCTATAAAAAGGTGAATAACATTTAAGTATCATTTTGGCTGTTGTCTACTTACCATGACCAAAATCTTTGGGTAAACAGGACATAAACAACTAACACGCAAGCCATCAATACGCTCAGTCGCAGTAGTCTCATCACGACTCCGTTTCTCTTTTCCGTTTATGCTTAGGCATATAATATAATATTTGATATGAGTTTTACCGTAGTTAATGGCGGTAATCGAATATTTATTATGTCATACGTTCAAGCGTTCTACTTAGAGGTCTTAGCAAGTGATGCTAATTCTTTTAACAAAATTATATAAAATATTAAACTACAAGCATATAAATATGCGTTTATAATAAAACAGAAAGAAGGTGATATAAGTCTTCATGTATGGTGTTGAGTGACCACAGAAAATAAGACTGCTCCCTAATTATAAAGACTACTAAGCCTACATTCTTTAAAGGGAATTTAAGCCATGCTAACTATCTATTGATCTGAGGACGTTTGACAAGAATAACTAAAGACTGTAATGTAATTCTACAAACCTGTTGAATCTTGTTTATTTATAATTATTTTGTCATTCTACAAGCGTACCTAGCGGGTAATGATCTGGTTAATCGGGTATTTAACTATGCATTGTGTTGATTGCACTAAGTAACCAATTTATCAGTTGCTGTTGATCGAGCGCGAATCTTTGAAAAAGATTTCTGCGAGCGCAGGACTGCCCAAAACAGTCGCACAGCACATGATTGGTCAACAGAGCCTTGCAGTGGGCATTTCAAGTTGCCACCCAGATAGCAAAAATACATTGGCCCAATATTGGCACTTTTGACGTAGCACGTTATACCTTGACCCGCCAAAGTAATGTGCTCGTAAAACATTTTTGAAAGGTGGATCATTATCGTAAGTAATACAATTTTAAGATGTTTTTGAGATCCAAATTTTTGTTCCTGATTTTGTGGGATTTATGTGCCTCTCCCTTGATTTTATTGAACAGAGCTATTTACACAATTTCTATGGATATTTTAGTGCCAACTAATGATGGAAACTCTTATTCGCTCTAAAGCGTTCATACTCTGCCTCTCATCTTCCTTGGGTCGGAACGGTATCATCCTCTCTACGTCTAAGTGGGCTCACCACACGCTCAGCAGAACTCCAAGAAGACATTAGAGAATGTCTCTAACATTTCTGGCATTTTTACAGTTGAATGTAATTGTTTATAAGGTTAATTCTGACTGAGGGTATGGTTAAAAGTTATCTATCGAATCAGTTGACATAATCATGGCAAGTTTTTTAATTCAGTTGTTTTGAACCACACATTTCCATCACTCAATACAAATAGGTAGCTTATAACTGAATCCAGTAGATTCTTTTAAACCAACCAATTCAGTTAAGGTTAACCGTTTTGGTCAGTTACCAGTGACTGATTAAAAGCAACCATATATAAATGGTTATAATTGAAATAGTTATATATAACTGAATGTATTGTTTAAAAGTAACCGAAAATTTAACCGTTTGGATTAGTTAAAAGACCAACTGACTTTGATGCAGTTAGGTCAACTGAATATTTAGTGGGATGTACAGTATATTGACTGAGTGAATCGTTTAAATACCTCCGCCAAGGAGGTTATGTTTTCAGCCCTGTTTGTCTGTCTGTTTGTTTGTCAAAAAGTTATGGACTGATTTTGATGAAATTTTAAGGAACTGTCGGAAGTGGGCAAAGGAAGAGATGATTAGTTTTTGGTGGTGATCCAGATCAATAATCAATCAATGATCAATAATAATCAAAAATCGCTGCCTTGGCGGAGGTCTGCGCTCTCGGAGTGCTTTTCTAGTATTGAACGTATTTTCGGCTAAGTTTAACTGATCAGTTTTAAGAGTGTAGGAAGAATATTACATCCATAACAAAATATTCTATTTTATGACGCAGGTTATTTATTTGCTTTATAGGAAAATAACATGTAAGCTATCGTTGCAACTACCCTGCTTGTATTAAAAGTAACATTACCATTAAAATATTTGGGCTACATGTACATGACCTGCCTTGAGTGTCAGGGCCACTGTAATGCTAGCTTGCTAATTATTCAAAGCTTTACAGTTAGTTTTGCTGATTTGCTGGGTTATATATGAAATCAAGATCGAATTGGCAAAACTGAATTCTAGAACCTAGGGTAGGTAAACGACACCCCTCCGATTTTCCAACCTTTATCATACCTTTCCTGGCAATCGCCATAACTCTGTAACAAATCTGGAAGAAGTGAAAGATAAAAACCTACGCATAAGAGGAGGTTTACTAAATACTCCATTCGTTTTCATTTGATTCGAGCTTCAGATATCGCGAGACTCTATAGGCGTTAGAACGGTGTTGCCAGCTTTTCCTGTGAGGGAGATGTTTGAATTAAAAATATAATTTTCAACACAAAAACGCCACTGTCACGTCATCAGCTGGAATAAGTAAATTTCCCCAGTGGTATTTGTGATGTAACATCATCATCTAATAACATGACCATATGTATTTTGCATTATTGAAACGGCTAAGGAAATAGATGCTTACATGTGAAGCTGCCTCAAGTATTCGAGGGAATATAATGCACATGTAGACTAGTTAGAGGGAGCTAGAAATACTTTTGCCTCCTTATGACATTTCACTAAGACGAACTTTGGCCGTCTTGGATCCCTTTGTTCATTGTTAAAGGTACATACGAACCGAGCATCGGTGGAGCGTGGATTCTCAGTAACACATGTAAACCACTTCTACTAGTTTCTTATATGACTCAAATAAATTCGGCATCCCAAGGGAAAAACTGAATTGATCACTTGATCAGCCATTAAAGAGCTTTAGACTGCTCCTTTCTTTAAATTTTTGGTCGGAAATTTAACCTAGTGTCGTGACCTACTTTTTTGCCCCATAGACATTCAGCATAGAATGCTAGCAGAAAAATCCGTTCAAACATCATTTTCGGGTAAAATTAAACAATGCCTGTTGGTAATTCTCTTAGTTATACTACTTGAAACTATATGCTGGCATTTGGTTGGTTTTTGTGGCCAAAAATTGACTTTGTTTGCATCTTTAAATACTGTAAATGGTGAGAAGTTTTATATTTACGCAACTAGAAGAATTGATTCAAACGTACCATGGCCCATAGAAGCCTACGCGTGCGTCTTTTAGACGCCCCTTTACATGCGAAAACGACGAGGCCTATGCCGAGTTCGTCTTTTACTACAGAGCTTTGAGAGCCGAAAATGACATAGCAATGCTTATTTCGTAACGCACGGACTGCCATACATGCAAAATTGCCTTGTGCCAAGTCGCATTTGTCTTTTACTGTGAAATTTATACTTTTAAAAGACACTGTTATAAAACATAAAATAGGCATGACATGTGTGATTTTCGCAGCTGAATAAGTAGACCCTTATAAACGAACTTGACGTGACCTTGAGAGTCATGTCGCTTTCATCTTTAACATACCTTCAACAAAATCTATCTCCACACAGACGCACAAGACATGTACTATTGGACATGGGTCAGTTGAAACCCATTGACCTAAAGGGCTCATGTTACTTTCAGCCAACTCTTATATGTCAAATCCAATTTTAATTGAAATTTGAAACCGAAGTGCTGTCCCAAAACATTTTTCATTTAAATCCCATCATAATTTAGTGCTATCTAGATAACAGTGTGGCTAATTGCTTGTAATAGTTATATGGCTTCACAATTTTATTTTCAAGGATTCAAATGTAAAGGGTTTTAAGACAGTCCTTCTGTTTCAAATTAATTGGCTGGAGTCCTTGCGTTACGAAATAAGCATTGCTATGTCAATTTTGCGCTTTATAAGTTGCACAGTATAAGGGAAGTTTGGCGTAGACAAACGATGTTTTATGGCGACGGTTAACTTAATTGATTTCATGGGCCGTTGCGAACTTTCATTAGCGGGGGGAAACAGCATCTGGTATTACCAGGTTAGGAGCGTAAACAAGGTATTGGCATCTAGAATTCACTGTATTAAGCTCCTTGAAATTTATCTGCCCATCGGGGAGACCCGGCAGCTTTGAAGCGTCACTTTTGCTGAAATTTGCAGCACTAAATCCGGGACTCTCTTTTAGGCACGCACTGCCGCATTTATTCAGTAAACACTGGTACTCGGCCTCACTTTGCTTTAAGTTCTCTGCAAAGCATAGCATTCAAGATTGATTATACAAGTTGCGCCTCGCTGGAATTTTTTTCGTTTGGTCTGTGACTGTTTACTGCTTTACTTATTACGAATTCGTTTGTGCGACTCTGGGATCTAACCCTAGCTTGAATAGACTTTA